TCGATAACCACTATTCTCTTTAGAATACGTTTGCATCTCAGCTAAATCTACTTGCCATAAGTCTGCGAAACCTTTTATTATAGTTCTCCTTCTATGAAACTTTCGTCTGGCAGGTTTATGCAGTTCATTGACTATTCGCCTTTTGGTTGCACTTATCTCCATAACAGCGTTATTCAAACCTATTGAAATACTTCTGAATGCTTGTGATCTCCTTGAATAACGTTGATATACTAATAGGCCAGCATACATCATATCCCTCTTATGCCTTGGAGACAAATTAAAATTAATGCACAATGCCTTCTTCGCGTAATTCCTCAATTATTGACATTATTTCATTATCGTGCCCAGTGTGACCGGCTGATTTTGAACTCCACAATAGCCGAAGGCGTTCTACTAATTCTGTAGCTTTATTCCAATAGACGTACTCTTTGCGGCGTTTACTAACACTCTTTCTGGATGGTATCAATTGTAATATTCCTCCACCACCTTTAACTTTTTGCTGCTGACTCCTCATATTATGTGGAGAACCAATTAATGGTTTGATAATTTGCTGATATTTCGTTTTTGATTTCGTACTCATATTCAACCCTTCCCGTACATCGAAATTCTTATATGGCGCCTTTGTATTCTTCAGCAGGGCTGTGTATACGCTCTTATCTCGATCATTGATCGATCTCGGTATGTGTTTCATGAATATGAGGTTATATAGTTCAGACGTTGCTGGAAAAATTTTGCTCCTCTTATTGCTGCACAATAACTCAATTTGTCCGGGAGGAAAACGAATCTCCATGGCACCCATCATCGTGTTTTTCGTGGTGGGATCGATACGAACGCCATATGTGGTGTCATAATTGGGGTCATTAGACTTCAAGTTATCTAAATGTTTTCTCAATTGTCCATCTAGTGTGTTCGCTTCTGCCCCATCAGCGGGCATCATAGTATCGATTGAAATGTGTGAAGAAGATGATGTTGGTGGTGTATCCATCATTGTTCTATATTCGGGTTCTTCATCTTCTTTTTGTATGCTTGAATAATCATCGGTGAAACTACGTGATTTTACGGATTGTCTGGGTGTTTTCGTAGCACCTGGAGACGCATTGCCCGACATCGGTGTGGAATGATATGTGGGTTGTGCCATTATTGTCGTTAACTGTTTGTTAATATTCTTCGTAGTAGCTGTTGTATTTGGAGTTGCTGCTGCTGCTGCTGCTGCTGCTGCTGCTGAGATAACATTCAACGGTTTCATGAGTGGTTCATACACCTTTTCGAGCGCCAATTGATTTCCCATACGGTAATTTTTCAGGCTTTCGAACTTTTTTCTCACTGCTTCGGTTGCTCCAATGAGTTCACGTTTGAGGTGAATTTCTGAATTCATTTCAGTCATTTTCTCATGAGATGTGCTCATAGTCACATCTAATGGTTGAATGAATCACGCGGTGCTTAGATTTCACGGATATATGAAGTTATCGAATCCTTTTCTGTAGCGGCCCTCTTGTACTTCACTATCCTTATCGATAACTATAAATCCATATCTATCTGTCCAACTCTGCGCGCACATATCTTGAAATTGCTTGAATGTAACATCTGGAGATACGTGATCGGAAAAAATGTGGTGAAGATTCATTTCATCCTGTTTAAACATAACTATGAAGTTGGAGTTGTCGCGAATGAGCTGTTTGGGTACTCTGGAGTATGTCTGCGCCAGATAAAAGCAGTCCACATTTTTATGGCGACCCATAGAAAAATACGATCTAATCACATCTTGTTTTTCACAAATGACGTCGTCGAATATGAAAATGCTGTCAGGTTCAGCATTCGCTGGTTCTATTATATCTACATTATTATCAAAAGTGTGGAATCCCAAACCTTTGATCGGCTCCAACACCTTTCGTAGGTACTCATACTTGGGTTGATACAACGATTTTGAGTAGAGGTAGATATTCGTGAACCGTAAACCATTTTCGTTGGTGAGGAGTGATATCATCACATTCGTTTTACCACAATTCGATGGACCAATTATGAGGCCGCGAATTGTGTTGGGAAATAGTGTTCCATGTCGGCGTTCTGAGATGATGTTACTTCCCAACCCCACTTTCTCATCAAAATTGTCCACATTGAAGGTTTCTGCCTGCTGAACTATCCGCATTGTATGACGGTTGAATGATATATAAGGTAGTGCAACCCGTGTTGGGGTCATTTATATTATGAAGCTGGAGCGTTGCACATCGATAAATAATAAAAGAATTAGTCGACGAAAGAGAAGCGGTAAAGGGATTGTGAATACCCTAATAAATAGAATACCATTCGAGTTACACATTCCTGGTTATCAATACTGTGGGCCTGGAACAAAACTCCAAAAACGATTAGCTCGGGGTGATCAGGGGATAAATCAACTGGATAAAGCTTGCAAGGACCACGATATAGCGTATCTGAAGTATCCAAACGATTTATCAACTAGGCATTCAGCTGATAAGAAATTGGAAGAAGCTGCCTGGGAGCGGGTAAAATCGAAAGACGCTAACGTAGGGGAAAGGACCGCTTCTTGGTTAGTCACCAATATAATGAAGGGGAAGAGGCGCTTCGGAATGGGATGTAGTGGACGTAGTGGAATGAAAAAACGTCGCATTACAAGAAAAAAGAATAAATCGAAGCGTGTAAGCAAAATTGCTTTCGGCTCTGGCGTAGTCCACAAGGTTCGAAATGTCATACGGCAAATGGGTAAGAAGAGTGATGTCGTCAGAAATTTAGCCAAAACATCCCTTATGGCGATCGGAGCTGCCCGAAAATTTGTCAAGATGGCAGGTGGGAAAAAGAATATACGGACACCTAGGATAATACCAATACCTAAAGTTGGCGGAATTCTCCCACTAATACCCATTTTCGCGGGCTTATCGGCTTTAGGCAGTTTGGCTGCAGGAAGTGCTGGTATAGCTCGTGCCATTCGTTCAGCGAAAGAGAGTAGGGAGCAGCTTTCGGAAGCAAGTCGACACAATAGGCATATGGAGGCGATCGCTCTTGGAAAAGTTGGTAAAGGAGTTTATTTGAAACCATATCGAAAGGGGTTAGGCATCTATCTGAAACCTCAAAATTCAAAAAACTGAATGAACTACCTCGAAGGGCCTTAACAGACATTGATCTATTGAATTATGTAGATAAAATGAAAGTACCGCACTTTCGAGGTATATTTATGAGGGACAAGCTACCTCGTTCCGGCCCACATCGCATAGAAGCAGCTATTCTGAATTTAGATAGCAATCGAGGCAATGGTACGCACTGGGTTGCATATAAAAAACGTAATAGAGAAGTGGAATATTATGATAGCTATGGAGATTTGCCACCTCCTCAGGAGTTGATGGAATATCTGCAGAGAGGGCCAAAATCGTTGAACACTATCAAAATCACATATAACTACGAGCGCCATCAGGATTTCAACACAGTCTGGTGTGGTCATTTGTGCTTAAAATTTCTCTCGGCAAACAACGGACGCAAAAAAAGTCTTCAATATGGATAGAGAAAGCATCAAACGAATGGGGCACTCATTACTGGCTTACTCAAGATTGCGTTCCCTGCTGAAAATGAGTGAAAAGCAGCTCGCAGACATGCCGAAAGAAGTCGTTATCGGTTGCGCCCCACATGAAATTGCTCTAGTGTGGGATAAACTTCCTCAGCAATTACGTAACGATCCGGACGTATCAAAATACCAATTTTGTGAAGAACATCATCATGAAGAAGATGGCAAACATGGCGCTGCTGATGTGAATGATGGACCAACACCGAGAAGAATATTTTGCTGTTTTTGTCAGATCAAAGATGTGAATGTGGCAAATGAATGTATTAATACTTCACCTCGTGAAAACGGCGGCATTCATCATTGTTGTAGGCAGCAATAAGGTTGTCACCTTTCCATCACGGTTGCGCATATATTTCAACATTTATCACAGTTTCGCCGTCTTCTTCCTCTGAGAAGTCATGTCACAAACTTTCACCATATCTGGGGACCGCAGTGTTTTGAGTGCCGACTTCTACCCACCTATTGAACTCGATACAAAAAAATCCTATGGTTTGGGATTGCATGGTTTCTACTCATATAACTCCATACTCGATATAGATGAGAAAAATAACCGATTGGACTTTTGGGCTGTGTTAGGAGCTAAAACCACCCACAAAATAGTCCACATACCACCTGGCGCCTATGAAATAGAGGAAATCAATAAAGCTCTACAAAAGGCTATAGCGTGCACAATACCGCTCGATGGGCGAAATATTGATGATATATTTTTTCTCCATGCTAATAATAACACCCTAAAATGTGAAATGAAATGTGTGTACAAGGTGGATTTCACACCTGCGACTTCCATAGCCGGAGTGTTGGGATTTGAAGCCAAGAAATACCCACCTAATATATTGCATGAATCCACGTTGCCTGTGAATATAATAAAGGTTCGTCTCTTGAGGGTGGACTGCAATATTACCACAGGAGCATTCTTCAATGGTGAGGAGGTTCATACACTATATGAGTTCGATGTTGATGTGGAGCCTGGGTATAAGCTATCAAAAGAGCCGCAAAATATCATATATTTACCCATCAGCCCGACTGGGCGTCAGTTCATCGACAACATTACACTGAGAATATTGGATGATAACGGTCTTTTAGTCGATTTTCGAGGAGAAAAAATCATCGTTAAGCTAGAACTGAAACAACTCGCTCATTAGGCAGACACCATCAAAGGAATGAAATGGGGTTTTGTTTTGGGAACCAATCAAAACGCATGCAACCGACTAGCTCCGATACCATTCAGCGGAATATCAATAAGAAGGAGAGAAAACGTGGTAGTGGATTCATTCGAGCAGAACTTCCCGAACGTGAAAGACATAGATTGTCTGCGAGCGACAAATATTTTTTGAAGTCAATTGGTCTGAAGTTACGATAACCAGCTGCAAGATGGTTGCAACAGCCTCTACTAGCCCCCAATTGGACGTGTTTGATGAACCAATTTTAGATCATTCACTGATGAGCCTACATGAGCACACATACAAACCATATGGGTCACCCTCATTCAAGAATTCTGATGAAATAAGGATCGCCGTCAACTTTCAAGATCTGATTCTTGATATTTCTGAAAGTTACATCTATATTGAGGGAAAATTCACACCAAACGATGCCACTAAAACCTGCTATCTATCTAATAATGCTCTAGCATTCTTATTCGATGAAATACGCTATGAAATGGGTGGCGAACAAGTATGCATGGTACGAAAACCAGGCATCACTACTACCATGAAGAGTATGATTTCTTATGGAGAGAGTAATATGAAATTCCTAGAGACAATTGGATGGGGCCTTGATGGTGGCAAGCAGGTGCTTCTAGATAAAGCTAGCAACGTTTTTAGCGGCAAACTACCCCTTAAATATCTGATGGGGTTTGCCGAAGATTATTGTAGAGGTATTTTGAATATCAAACAGGAGCTAATACTCATCATAGCTCGCTCATTCAAGAACTCATATATTGGGGAAGTGGACGCCGATGTGGAGATTAACAAAATTGAGTGGAAGATAAGACATGTGATGCCATCAGATAAGCAGAAATTGAAGCTATTGACCCGTTTGAATAGAAGTTCTACGGCAAAAGTGAAAATTGCATACAGGATGTGGGATCTGTATGAGTTACCGACTATTCGTGAAACAGCATCTGACATTTGGGCCGTTAAAACTACCAATAGCCTCGAGCGGCCTCGATATATCATCATTGGATTCCAAAACACTGATAACACTGATAATAGATCTGAGGATATCACACAATTCACCCATGCAGGAGTGAGCAATATTCGCCTGTATTTGAATTCCGAAGTTTATCCATACGAGCGATGGAATTTGGATTTCGATAAGAAATTAGATGCAGTAGCCTATTATGCATATGACAACTTCCAACGTAGTTACTACGGCAAAGACATGAGCGAACCAATGATGAGCATCGAGGAATTCCGAAAAAACCCACTATTCATCATTGACTGCAACCACCAACCCGATGCGATGAAATCCTCCACTGTCGACATCAAGTTGGAATTTGAAACACGAAAAACGAAGTTTCCATCGCACACCAAAGTTTACGCACTTATTCTTCATGATGCATATTTAACTTATAGTGCACTGGATGGTTCCATACAGATGGGTGCTTTATAGACATTGAATGTATCATGTTCATGTTAATAATAACGGCCATTTCGAGATTGATTTATATATTTGATATCATAGTTATTGTTCTAGAATCCGTTGTTGTTATACTGAATAAAACGAATATGTACCATATTTATTGTTTTATTTCTATACATATACATTAACAATTATAGTACCCATACATCTTATAAGTATTCAGAGGTTGAAGTAGCCGTTGTGTGGAGATTTAATGCAGAATTATAAGCTTTTTTCTTCTTCTTGTCCTTCTTCTTCTTCTTCTAAATCAGACACCTCTGGAGTTATTCCAATGCTATATTTCCGGACGAGATGGTTCGGCAAAAAATCGGAAATTTCATACAGGAATTGCACTAAGTCCTCTTCAACCATGGCTTCAACAAATTCCTCTACATTGATGTTATTATACTCGAAACGGGCGCAGAGTAGGAACCCCAATTTGTATTGCTCAGCTTGCTTGCACAGGTTCTGAACCTGTTTTTGATCAAAGCACACACTCGTGTCATAATTAGCTGCATGCATTGCGTCCTGCTCTAAATCGGCAAACTGACATTTCAGCCTCCTCACACTCGACTTGATATCTTCCGCTACCGGCCAAGATTGACTGGAATAATGCATCCACATATTGCACATCTATTGAGGTGAATTATCCTGCAACATAAATGGAAAAAATACTTAGGTCACGAGTGAATGAGTTAAAGAATTGATCATTAATCGAATTATATATCTGTAGCACCACTCACCTATACAAATTCAACCTTCATCAGAGTGTGATATAATAGGTTATATATAATATGTAAGGATTATCATATAGTATTCGAACCCATTTACACTACACTAAACGTGGCTGATGCATCCCTATGATTAAATTAATTTTCCTATATACTATGAAATGATCTTTACATTTTTTTCACATCGAATTTCATGAGAGCTCTCGTCTTTGCACCCGCGAATAGAGGCTCACTCTGTCCCAAGTATGTTAAAGTGTAAAGACCGTTGGAAGAATTTATCTCATCAATATCGCTCTCCATAAATTTGTCAACAACTCTTTTTGGTAACCAAGTTTTCAAACTCACTTCGGTCTCTTCATCATATAAAATCACAGTACCACTCCTACCGAATCTGGTTCCGCATAATGAGATTTTCTTGATAATATAGCTTTTATTGAGGGGTAGTGATGATATCAAAATTTGCTTTACAATTTCATTCTCCTCATTAATTTTATCATTAATTGAAGCTAAATCGATTTTGGGGGCAGCCATTATTTTCGTCCAAGTGAAAGGGGTGTGAATAATATATGAATAAGCGTACTTACATAAAACAGATAACCTTTTATCACACTCAAACTTTCCCAACTTAATTGAGCAGAAGCAATGTTCAATGTTATTGCAAGAACTATGCTTGTGCATGTGGCGGATTTCGTATTTATAGAAACGCAAACAACCCCCACTATAGCGATGTGATGCGCGAAAGTGTCTTCAACTTCGAACACGCTTTCAAGGCCTCACTCTCTCTTCAACTCAATGTCACTCACTCTCAAGGTCGCACATGCGGAGGTTCACTCCCACCCAAGGTCGCTTCCGCCCAATGCCACTCTTGCCTCAAGGCAACTCTTGCCCCAAGGCAACTCTTGCCCCAAGGTCACTCCGCCCAAGGTCACTTCCTCCCAAGGCCACTCCTGTTCCAAGGTCACTTCCGTCCAAGGCCACTTCTGCATCAAGGTCACTCCTACTCAAGGTCACTACCGCCCAAGGTCACTCCTGCTCCAAGGTCACTCCGCCCAAGGTCACTCCCGCCCAAGGTCACTCCGCCCAAGGTCAGAGGAGAGTGACCTCGGGCGGAGAGTCAGAAACGGCTAATCTTATCTACTGGCGTACTATCAAGGCACATCATCCTGATTGGTTCCAATATATACGTCGTGGAATTGTCAATGAAATACTTGTTATTATGTACAATTCGACACATTGAAGACACAGGCCACAATATATGTTCGAAGAAAGCAAACTTGGAGGTTCCTGTTATCAACATGAAAAAACTATACTCATCAGTCCATTTCTATCAATGCTTGGCATCGAGGTATCTGAAGTCTTGTCATGACCTTGTTCCTAAAATGGCCAGGGCGAGTAAAGCTTTTTGTGCCAAAAGAGTATCTCTCCTCACAAGTACTGTTTGCGTGTCTGAGAATCAGATTTAGAACACTTCTTGAGGTTCTTGAAGTCATGTCAAAGAAGAGCCATCAAACTTATGACTGAGAATATACTGAATGCAAAATTCGAAGACTTAGGAGATTATTGTGATAACACATTAATGTATTGAATATGTTCGAAAAGGATCTGGAATTTTTTCTGGTGGTCGTAAGTCGCTTGAATCGTGAAAGAATAACACGTGTATCAAATATGAGCAAAATATACTGGGAGGTTTGTTTGTTATGCTCCTTTGAATGAGGGTACCATTTATACTACAATCACTACCACCCCAGTGACCTCTATTTACTATTGACGTATATTTCTTTCTCGATGAAATACCCTGTATACCAGATGCAGAGATAACTTCCCAAGGCAATCCATCTTATGTTATTACTTTCTTTATTCGATTACATCCCACCTTATTCCTGTTTACCGAAGACATTCTGCTGCATCTACCTGATACCTCGATGGTCAAATATTTACCAGATGAACTGGTTGTAATCTGACCGTCTAAACACTTGTTGCAATGTAGTCGGTATTTATTTCTGTTGACAGAACGGCATTCGAAATATTATTTATGAACGACCGCCGTGTATTTATCTTATTTACATATTGAATGGAGCAGAGAAAGGTTCTAATTTCATATTCGGATGTATCAACAGTGTATACCTACCCAAAGTATAATGAGGTTACTGTTCTCAATGTGATGTGAACGGTGTTATGTGTCAGTTTATGTCAGTCACTCCAATTTTCGGTCGACTGAGTAAGGGTTCCTCAGTTTCATTATTATTTTTTTATCATTGAGAGATAGGCGGGTATAACCTGTTATAGCCGACTGCTTTTTCGGCTGTTTTGATCATGGACTTTTGTTTATTGAAAATTATCGAAATAGCTCTATCAGTAAAGAAGCCAAACATTGTCAGTCTCACCAATTGGCGTTACTAGGGCCCGTATTTCAAGAACTTCTCAAGTCCCCCTCATGTGAGGAACCCTCACACTTGTTAAAATACTCAAATTCTTACTGTGGACATCGGAAGTACAATAATTCTCTGTACAAAGCTCAAGACTTGAATAACTTCGTTTGATCACTACTTAATTTCACTCTTATCATTACATTCATGAAATCCAGAAAAGCGTTCCAGATCAAACACTTTTCAATCCCTTGAAATTCATATTCATAATATATCTATCTATATACATATTCATAACACAACCTGTGATAATACTCAAAATTGGATCAAGAAATGCTTAAGGTACGCGTACCTCTTTACCTGCCTTGGAATTGTCATTTCCTTGAGGCATCCAACGAATAATGCCCACTTGGGTTTTGTTTGGTTAGGCTATGCTTAGTCGGCGGTCTGGAGACTGCCCTACACTGATGAGCGTCAGAGAGCTCGAAACAGGTATGTAGGTGTCTAGCGTGTCCTGGCTAGATCGAAATCAATACGCATTCAGGAAAGAATCATTTGTATCAGTATTCGTTCATACGAGTCGATGCATAGATTTCGAAAAGATGTATTTCAATGTTCTGCGTTCAGCCAGGAAAGTTGTTGCTTTTCTCCCGAAATCTACCATTGTTGTTTATTTCATGAACATTGTGTGGATATGACGTTGGGCTTTTTGTATTTATTCAACAGTTCATTCCACTCTGAACGTTGTGGCTATTTTGTAGTTGAAATAACGCCAGTCGGGCAACCAGTCACTCCCGTATGGGAATTTCAGTTTTGCAGTGTTTTTGTCATTCTCTACGCAGATGGCGTTGCTTTCATATTGTCTATGAAGGACGCCTCTGAGGGAATACGATGTCTACTTGAGTTTTATTTGGCTAGGCTACGCTTAGTCGGCGGTCTTAGAACTACTGGCTGGAGACTGCCCTACACTGATGAGAGTCTAAGAGCTCGAAATCGGTCTGTAGGTGTCTAGCGTGGCCTGGCTAAATCGAAATCAATAGGCATTCAGGAAAGAATCACTTGTATCAGTATTCGTTTATACGACGAGTCGATGCATAGATTTCGAGAGAATGTAATTCAATGTTCTGCGTGGCATTAGCCAGGAAAGTAGTTGTTTTTCTCCCGAAATATACCATTGTTGTACATTTTATGAACATTGTGTGGATATAACTTTGAGCTTTTTGTATTTATTTAACATTTCATTCCACTTTGAGCATTGTGGCTGTTTCGTAGTTGATAATTATCATATATTCTGATACGATTTTCAATATCCTCAGAATATTCGAAAAACAATACTCCCAGAATATTCAAGAAGAATATTATAAGAATATTCTATAATCATTCTGGAAACGGTCCATAAGAATATTCTTAAATAAGTTTATTTGAACATTGTCAGAATATTCATAAAATATTCTGTGTTGTCTGGAATAGGTCTACAGACAATGAAATATTGAGATAGAATTATATCAATAACTGGTGTTCACCTCTCCCGATAACTTAGAATATTGATTTTGCACTCACCCTGTTTGTGACGCTCCTATATGAAATTTTGGAATGTTACTTGTTTCACAGTATTGTACATAAAAATTTTAGTGCATGTTGAGAATCTCATATCATTGTATTCAACAACAATCAAGTACATTTCTAATAGGAAGTTTCTACCCCTTATACCCTCTTTAAAGGCTTATATCGTGGTAAGAGGACATTTTATTCTAAATACATTAAAACCTC